TGCTTCCCCATCAATCATGGGGAGGGGAGGCAGGCACACGCAGGCTGGGTGGACTGGGAAGACGTTGGCCTTGCAACAGTGGCAGGGAGGGGGGTGGGCCTGGCCCTGAAACAGCAGCGGGAAGGGTTGGGGGGAGGGCACACTGGGCAACTGGCTAGTCAAATATAAAAATCCAGGGTCACTTCCAAATCTTTGCTCTTTAGCCTTGAACTACAGTTCACGCTGAATGGCCCCTCTGCAGATGAACCAAGACCCTGGCCACCTGCTTGAGGCTTCTGAGATTTTAGATTAGGATTCATCTCTATTTCAAACACTAAAAAGTCCGTCAATTATGAACATTTGATTATTTGTTTCAATCCATTTAATTTATATTGTGCTATCACTCATACTGCTATTAAAATACATTTACATTTATTCTCTTGAGTAGTTGATTTTGGTGGGACCAAACCATCCTTAGTCTTCAGAGTATTTTTGGAAGGTCAACAACTCGTAGCAAAATAGTTCATACTTTTAGGCTACAATGTGTGAGCCTAGGAAGACCAGCTCTGAAGTGATCCTCCTCTGTGTTTATCCCTTCCAGGCATGTTATTGCTGGTGAATGTAGTCGCAATCAGCTGTTGCAGAGGTCAGCCAGATTGGTCCTGCTGTTGCGCTCTAAAACCCTTTTGGACACTTTCCACTCCATCACAAATTAACACCTTCAAAAGCTCCCTTGTGAAAGACAGACCAGCAAACACTGGACAGAGCTTTTCTCCTCTGTAGTTTCTCTTCTCTTTTCTGTATGCCCTTTTACTCCTGCACCCCTTGTCCTTCTTCCCCCTCTACCTCTTCATACTCCTGTCCATATGGCACGGCTTCTCCCTTCCACTTTGATGGATCTGGTCTATACCAATATATCTGCCTGCAACGAGCCAAACTGAGCTGCAGTTAGAGGCAGGATCAGCCCTTGAACGGAAGACATTGCTGACAGAAGAGACTACGTACCCAAGCAGGCCATGGTGACAATTGCAGGAACACTGAGATACACATTTTTAATAATGAGTGATGTCTATAGATCAGTATGCAATACCACCAAAACATTACTGTCCGTTTTTACATTAATATCATACTTTCTTTTCATACAATCTTAATGAGACTTCATGCTCTGAAAATAGTACTTGGGGAGGCAGATGTACCCACCCAGCCATCCAAAGAAACCTCAACTACCCTAATACACTTCCACACATGGGGGAGAAAAAGTATTTACATGTTTAAATAAGAGTTTTTCCCTCTAGGGTTCAGCTCTCCAGCTTGTTTAAAGATTGGGGTAGGAAGTACTATCACTGTTCTCTTGAATTTCAAATAATTTATTGTTTTAAGCAAAATAAGAATACATTACTCAAACCTCTGTATCCCATCTTACTAATTTATTACACGTTTAATAAACTGGTGCTAAAATATCCAAACTGGCCAAAATGTATTGACAAGCATGGGGGTAAGAAGAGAAGAGAATCCTTTTCCTGACAAGATTTCATGAAGAAAACTCTTACACATTTTCTTTTACTCTCTACCTTCAGACATTTTTAAAATGCTAAGTAATATCTCTCAATACTTAGCTACTTCCCTTCTGTAAGAGAGGTAAGTATCTGCTGTGATGGGAACAAACGGAAATGGGAGTACAGCATGCTCCGCTGCCTTGTTTTAGCTGGTGCCATGCAATTAACTCTCACTTTCAAACAGGATGAGGGAAGCATATAAATGATAGCTAGGCAGGAGTTGGAAGAGCAGGTTGGCCAGCGGCTCCTGCAAGGTTCCTCAATCCTTGTATAGTGAAAAAACCACAGAAACCAGCTGTCAGTAACACCCCTCTGCAAGTGATGAACTTCCTCTTGGAGGCTCCTTTTACTTACAATGCTCATCTCTTCCGTCTTTCCTATCCCATTTGGCCCACTGCACCCTCTCCATCAGATTTGTTCTTCACCCCTTTTCATTTCTGCCTCACATGATTTGGTGGCCAGAAAGAGAACAATTTCTAACTGGATGAGGCAGCACAAGTACAAGAACATTACAAAGGGGAAAGAAAAGCAGCTATGGCTGCAGAAAGTACAGAGCAAGCCCAAGAACATAATTCTGCATGGGGCCTGAGGCAAATGGGAAACGCTATGTTTTTGTCTGGGGTGAATAGTAAATCCAGATATTTGGCCCAAGATTGTTTAAATGTGTTTGCCTGATCACTGTGGATCCAGAAAAGCCATTTTAGAAAGCCATCATATGGTTTCCAGAGCTTTTAGTTACAGGATGACCATATTTCCTCAAAACAGAACACTCTGCTTGCCCCCTCCCCGCTCTCCAGCATACTCAACCGTTCTGCAGCTGAACTCTGGCAACCAGCTGAGCACATCCGAGAACAGTAGCAGATGGTAGGACATCAAACCAGTCCCATTTTAAAGACCCAACACAGGTATCCCACTAAACATGGGGAAAAAAGCATTTATTTGACCAAACCAACAGGACAGCTAGGACAGGTATTTAAAATGGGACTGCCCTGGCAAAAGCAGGACACATGACTACTATATTTAGTTGGTGAGATGATAGTTCCACATTAAACCCAGGGAAAAGGAGGTACAGCTCACCAAGGGCAGAATACAGGACAATACAAGAAGGGGAGAGAGGCAGGTTTGTTAGAATGACAACTCAGGGTTCAGACAATGAACAGCATGTAAAATGGAAGTGTAGATCAAAGGTGTGTACTGTGTCCTAACGAATCGCTGATGTCACATCAAAGAATCTTGCTTTCTGTCTTTAGCCTGTGTTATGCCTCTAAGTAATATCAAATCAAAGGATGAGGAATGGCATCTTCCAGTATCTGGTATTTGACAACGTAAACTGAAGGGCTCTGCCTTCTTCTTTTTAATCCTTTTGCTTTTTAATTTGAAAAAAGGTCCCCAGATACCCCCTGCCACAGAATCTGATGCAAGAGGCAGGTCTCCTTACCAAAACCAATCCCTTAAACAGCATTACCATAATCATAATAATGCACTTGATTGTTAGTGTAATTAATATCATCATCGTGCAAAGTACTAGGGTTTATTTATAAAAATGCTAAAATTCAAATGGATGCAAAGGTCCGCTGTGCTTTCACACCACTCTGTTCCTCCAAAAGTCAGCACTGGAGGTCAGCAAGCAATGGGAGGACAGTTATCTGGGTTTAGGGTTATATTCTTCCTGAGGTCATGTTGCTTGCTGAATTTAATCTTCAGAGGCAAAACAGCTCAAAGAATGAGATTTAAGAACAAAAGGCTTTGAGAGAAGCACAGGCGTAACATGGTTTTTACAAGGGGAAACAGACACCCTTGTTTCCAGGACAACCACGCACTGTCAACCTCACCTCACCTGACACAACCGAGCGTTTGAGTGCACGCGCACGTACTAAGTTTTCTGTATGAGTTAAGGCTAGAAAACCACAACCTTATTAGCTTGCTCTTCACCGTAGATAAGAATGAATATACATTACAGGCTTCTGCTAGCAGCTGTATCAGTTAAAGGTATGAAGAGCTGTAGCTTAAGTGGTATCCTGTGACAGGTGTGCCTGCACAAGCCCCTAGTCTTAATGCACTTGCACTGGCAGAACTGTGCTGTGGTTCTCTTTGGAAGAACGGAGGGGAATCAATATTAACACGTCTTGATGCAAAGCACAACTTGGCTGCTATTTTTGCTCATGCACTCAGAGCGCTTTGCTGGTCTAGCATGCTATTCCTCCTAGCCTGGTAACATGCTGCCAGAGTAGGGTGTAGCCATACTGTGGTATCACAGCACCCATTTACAAAGTCAAAACACATGCAAAAAGCAAACACGTCACCTTCTTTCCTCTATAGTTTGCCAACACAGGGAGAACATCTAAAATAGTTATTCCAGAAGAGGTGTCTCTGAAGGCTCTTACACCCAAATCCTCCCCCACCCCAACACCCCTACCATAGGGGCCAATTTAGCATAATTTCATTTCAAAGCAGAGGTTAAGGGCTCCACTCTCTTTTCTTAGCCTACTCCTCCGCCCGCCAGGAACTGGTTGGCAATCTAAGGGGCCTACGGGCAGAATAAGACCCACCATGTGACTGTATTCAGCCTGTGAAGCCAGAATGTCAGCACTCAGTTTCTTGAGGCTAGAAAACCACAATCTCTTAGCTTGCTTTCCACCACCGATATCAGTGAAGTTGAGGTGACCAGCTTCTATGGGCAGCTGTATCAGATAAAGGTGCAAAGAGCTGCAGCCTGAGCAGCGCCCTGCGACCTAGCTGTGCCAGCAGAAGCCCCTCCACTCGGTGCATTTACACTGATGCACTTATACTGGCAGACCTGTGCTGTAGTGCTCTTTGGAAGAAGGGATGGGGATTAATATAGCAGCACAACTTTGCTGCTATTTATGTGCATGCCCTGAGAGTGCCTTGCCAATCTGGTACACTATTCCTCCTAGCCAGGTAGGGGTATGTAGCCCTACTGTGGTATCACCCATTCATGAGAAGTCAAAACACATGCAGAAGCAAACATGCCCTCCTCTTTACAGACCCCTAGAAAACAAAGGTCAGGAGGGCTCTCAACTTGTTTTGTACCAGGACAAAACACCAACAGTCAGTCCCAACCCAGTGCCCCTCACTACCAACCTGCTGCCCCCAACCCCACAATGTGTGGGGCAGGGGGTGGGTGTGTGGGGGGCAGGGGGCCCCTGGCAGGCTGGACTCTGCCTGCCTCCAAGGAGAAAGCTGCAGTTTCCCCATGTTTCTCGCCTTTGAAGGAGAATCCATTTTTAATGTTTGCTTGCAACCCTTTCACATATTCCTGCGACCCGCTTTTAGGTTGCCACGCACAGGTTGAGAAACGCTGCACTAGGCAAAGCAGGACCGCCCCCAACCGTCTCATCCCGGTCCAGCCGGGTCTTACAAACCTTCAGGGATAGAGGGCCCCGCCTCTCCCGGGGGCCGGTCCCAGTGCTTCACCGCCCTCCTCCTGAGAAAGTGCTTCCTAACCTCCAGCTTGAATCCCCTGGCTGCGGCTTGAGCCCGGTGCTCCTCGTCCTCTCGCCTGCCCCAACCGACCGACCCCGCTCCGGGACCCGCCTTCAGGCTGCTGTCAAATCCCCGCTAAGGCTTCCCCTCCGCGGGCTCAGCCAGCCCCGCCCCCG